TTTTTGAAGATGGGAACCACGTTGGCCCTCTTCCAGTCCTCTGGCACCACTCCAGAGCACCACGAGCGCTCGTAAAGCCGTGCCAGGGGTCTTGCAATGACCTCGGCCAATTCCTTTAGAACTCTAGGGTGGAGATCATCCGGACCGGCTGACTTGAATACGTCCAGCCCCTCCAGAAGCTCCCTAACTAAATCTTCGCTAACCCTTGGCCCAGGTGTGCCTCTCCCGGGGCCCGAGGGGGGCCCAGCAGGGAGGTGGGGCACAGTATGAGGAAGTGGTGGAGGGACCAAGTGACACAGTACCAACATGCTCTCTGCCTCCTCAGGTTTCGTGCTCCCATTTTGCTCTCTTTTTGGTCCAATGAGTTTTACATTCTTCATTGTGCAGTAGAACAGTTTCAGCTGGAAAGGCAGAGAATAAACCTCTTGCCTAGAGAGATAAGGGCATTTTTCTGGGTGGTTAAATCTTCTAAGGCTGAAGAGGGAATTAACTTGGGTGTCCCATCCTCAGAAGGCGCTGCCACACCAACAGCTCCTCTCCCAGCCCCATTTTACTATGTTTCTATGAATGTGTGTCTGGACAAAGTCATTCTGGTACTCTAAGTTCGCTCTCATGCTCCCTGCTTCTACAGCATTAACACAGGCAAGGGGAAGTTGGAGGTTTTGGTGATAGCCCCTACTGGAGCCTCCTGCCCGTCTCTTTAGTGAGACACTTCCTTGGATGACCTGGAAATCCAGACCATTGACTTCAAATGCCATAATGAGATGAGGGGCAATACCTGGAGGATCTCTGGGCTATGGGGAGACTGACCAGTCTTGGAGGGCAGTTCCAATCTAAACCCCTTTGTAGAAAAACAGAAGAAAAGGAAGTCCCTTAAGATGATCCTTGAGGGCCCTTCCAATCCTATCATTATACAAGGCTCACAAAAGAAATTACTACATCTGAGATCCCGTTCTATTAACAGCAAGGTCCAGCCTTGGCCCTTCTTAACACTGTACACAGATGAACACTACAAAGCAGTTTCAGACTTGCCAACTGCCATACAAGTATCAGATCAATAGTACACCTAAATCTCATCCAGTATCTTTCCAACTGCAGCTGGGACAAGAAGCACTTCTTCAGGCACCAAGCCAATTGTGTTGTCCACATGTGCAGAGAAAGGGAGAATCCTTCCCTGAGTACTGCAGGCCATGATCTTAGTTATACGATCTAAGTCTTATTGGACATGACTCTCAGCTCTCTGACACAACATTGCACATACCTTCCCGTTGTTCATCTGTTAGCTGCTCTTTGGGGAATTCTACATCAAAGGTTATTATTAGTGAGCCTTTGATGTTGTTGTTATCAAAATTTGGAAGACCTTCTCCTTTCTTCCACAGCTTGGCCCCAGGTTTTGTAATTTTATCCCGAGCAACATGAACCTGGAAGGCAAAAATGTCTTTAAAAAAAAAAAAAAAATGGTTCAGAACAATTCCTGATTTCTTAAATTGCACTCCACACTCAATACAAATTCTCCACAGAGCCAATAGCATGCACAGGGACCAAGGGAGCATCACTTCCAGGACATACTGGAACACTGACATATTTTAAAGACACCACTTGCCAGAGCTGCCCCTTCCAGCTAATCGTGGATTTTCCTCACTTGCAGCTTCCAAATAAATCAAAATAGATATTTTTATCTCTAGCACTGAGACAAGACTGCACATGGTCAACAGATGGAATTGCAGCACTGGACAAATCCTTATGGGGCTTAAGGAACTCGTCACTAAGATTCTGCTCCTAGTGAACAAGAGTAAACTGTTGTCTCACCTTGTGCCCATCTAAATGTGCGATACCCATTTCAAAGCCTACCAATGCCTCGACCAGCGAGATAGTCACATTTGTATACAAGTCATCTCCTCTTCTTTCGAAGACTGGGTGTCTGTGAATAAAACATAGCAACTTCAGCGTTGTGCTTCTCTCCTACAAGAGTCAGGGCATCTAGCTCACCTCCCTCAATTTGTGAATAAGTGTGGAAAGCTCACAACTCACAGAAGGGTGGATAAGACATGCATTCACAGACACAGCTTCCTTTTCCTGTACTCAATATGTGCATTACTGAGGATCTTTCAGTTCCTGGGACACGGAGTGCCAAGGCATGTCATATATGACTCATCTAACAACTCTCTCTTGTAGTAAGGAGGTGTATTTCATTGCATGAAGCAAGAGGAGGAAAGGCGCGTCCAACCATCCCATGTGACTCAGCTAGCATCTACCAACTCACCCCCAAATATTGGGCCAAACAAAACAAAAAAGAAAGGAAAATATCTGATGAGCTTCTAGGCAATAGTTTCTCAACACCCACAGTACTTGATGGTCACTGCACAGCCCTGACTCCAGCCCTCCGTCAAAACAGTTAGATGACTGGTTTTCTGATCTCACTGACTTTAGGTTATGTACATGACATCTAAACTGCCAGCCTTGATAGGAGAGCCACTCTCAAGCTTCCTCTTAATTATCTAAAGAAAAGTGAAATGATGTGATTTAGTGTTACTTACTTGAGAACTTTTATGCGGAAACGCAAGTCACCTGGCTCCCCGTCTACATGAGGTTCACCTGTGAAGTAAGTTATAAGTGGTATGTTATATAACCTGTTAATAATCCTAACTGGCATTTCACCTGCAAATACCCAATTTGCCTGGCAGCATAGCAAGCCCTATCACTTGGAGACTTAATTTTGTGTTCTCATAAGCTGTAAAGTCTTTATGGTTCTTAAATGAAGAAATCCCCGCTTACAGGCCACTTCCTTAACGGAGTACCTAAGGCAGGGCAGGGGTGGTGGCAACTGATCCTATCTGGCCCTGGGACATCTGCTCCACACCCACTGCTGGATACAGTGGGTGGGAAGGGTCTCCACTGAGACAGG